ATATATATATATATATATATATATATATATATGTATATATATATATGCTTGAAAGTATAGATTCCTCAATCTATTGGGGTGGCTTAATATTAATCTATGGTGGCCAAGGCCACCATTGGCCACCCCCTGGCTCCGCTATTGTGCCTGGTGGTGGATAAAATTGCTTCCTCTATTCTCCATGATCTGCCACTCTCTACATCCATGGACAAGTAAAAAAAGAAACTACCCCTATTCATATCCCTCATTGATGGAGGACATCTGTGTGCCGCTTGTTTTATTTGCTCTCTTGGACGACTGAGAATCTACACCTGCACATGCTCCAAAAATGCTGACAAGCGGTGCAGCTTCTCAGAACAGTCAAACCCTTTTTTATTGTTTGCCTCACAGATCACAGATTATCAGTCTCATTTGTGTTGAACTTTAAAGCTAATCTTTCGGCTTTAGTTGAATAACAGAAACCCCGTCAGGCTTTTCCAGGCAGATTCAAACACCAGAGCTGCCCACTGTTAGTCACATTCATCGCGGTCATTTGAGGCAAGAAAGCACTCTGCTCTGAGAGTTCCTTTGGGAAGAGGCTTCCATGGCGAAGGAGCAAGTGAGGTCGCATTTCCATGGCAACAAATGCTGGGCTTTGATGCTGGTGGGTTTCCTGATCGTGTTTATGTGACTGTTCTCTTTTCCAGTTTGGGATTACAGCACTGGAAGAGTGGGAGGGCCACTGGCTTGTTGTGAGATCAAGCTCAAAGACTGGCTGGAGGGTGAGTGAACCTGGGAGAGGTGCTACAACGCACAGCTCATATTTCTTCATTCAAGGTACAATTCACAGAAACAGAAACCTGCAGCTTGGCTTTTAACATGAACACAAAAACATTTACACATTTACTGTCCTGAGGTCCAGGCTGGGTGATCAGGTCCTTAGTTGTCCTGAGCTCCAGGCTGGTCCACAGAGGTGATTAGGTCCTTAGTTGTCCTGAAGACTCATGGTGGAACACATTTGTTCTCACTGGCTTTTGATACAGCTTGAGAGCTGATGTTTGAATATACTTTTATTGTTTTTTTATGTCTCATTTTTTTCCTTTTATTTTTTATTTCAATTCAGTTTATTTATATGGTGCCAAGTCACAGCAGAAATCATCTCAGGGCACTGAACAGAAACATTCATATACAGTAGTCCCTCGTTTATCGCGGGGGAAGACCTGCGATAAGTAAAAAAACTGTGAAGTAGGAATAGTAGTACAAGTATTAAGTAGTTGTTTATTTTAGTATATATATATATATATATATTTATATATATATATTTATATATATATATAT